ACATCCAAAGGAAAAAACCCAGCTATGAAAGGTACTTGCACTTCTTTATTCATTAAAGCATCGTCCATGATATCCAAGATACGGAAACAGTCAAAGCATTCATCAACATGGATAGATTGTAGTATATAAACACATTCACACTGGGAATAGTATTTAGCATGAGAAAAAGGTTGGCACACACAGAAATATGTGATCTTACTTGTAGGTGCAATAGCAAAATAAAGTGCAGAGAAGTAATGTTATCAGGGGTGAGAGAAATATGTAAATGTAGATCAGAGCACAAAACTGCAGTTATGTAGGGTGAGATAACCTGTTATAGAATGTTATTTTAAGGTGTGTTACTTTTGTCTATGCTCTGGAACATATGTTTAATGATACAAAGATGTGTTTGATTAAATAAAATTCACCTATGACCCAGAGGCTGAGTCAGCAACTAACTGACAGGAAGTAGTAGGGAGGAGCCAGGTGGAGAAGGGTTTATAAAGAGGGGTGAGCAAAAATACAAAGACTTCTTGGGAGACCTGAGGAGGCAAGCTGGGTAAGCGATTTGCTATTCAACCTCTCTGGAAAGCAGGATTCTACCACAGCCTTTGAATCTTGAATTTTTTAGCGGGACAGAGATAAGTTCTCTTAGTAGTTTTGAAAGAGGTTGGTGCCTAAGGGAACAGAATCTCTTCAGGCTGCGGCTCTTGCAGCCTAGCTGCTGCTAGTAACAGTGGAGTTGCAGTTGCTGACTAGAATAGCCATAGTTTAAAAGACAGATGATTAAAAAAAGAGGGCAATAATTGGCGCCCCATGTTGGGTACCAAAATGTGGTATGATGTTTTACTCTTGGCTTTTTGAGGGGCCCACCACCCAGCTCCCAAATAAATCAGAGGCTTATTTTTACTTATGAATGCTCGGCCTTGGCATAGCTTGTTTCTTTCCAGCTTTTCTTATGTTAATCCGACTACCTTTTTCCTCTGGGCTTTTATCTTTCTCTATTTCTGTATACCCTCTTCTCCATTTGGCTTGCTGTGTAGCTGGGTGGCTGGTCCCTGACATCCTCCTCTCCTTCTCTCCTTCTCTCCTCTCCTTCTCTCCTCCTAGATTTCTCCTTCTATTTATACTCTCTAGCCCTGCCTATCCTTGCTCCTACCTTACTATTGGCCATTCAGCGCTTTATTAGACCATCAGGTGTTTTAGACAGGCAAAGAATCAGAGCTTCATAGTTAAACAAATGCATTGTAAACTAAAGTCACACACCTGAAAATTAATTATTCCCTAACAGTAACCTATAACATCAGGACTGCTGAGAATGTAATATGCTGAGAGTTTGCCAAGGAACATTTTAGGTATTATCATACAAAGTATAAGACAGTATGTTACTTTCTCTGACTAAAAAGGAAGGAAAGCGTATATACATATACACATTAAATGGAAATAAATGTTGCCTAATTAGATGCAAATTTACTTGATATAAATTAAAATATAATTTCTTAAATTCTTGAATGAGTAAAATCCCAGCAGCATAACTGATGGAATAGTATACATATCCTTTAGTTGAAACTGAGAAATATGTTTACTGTCATCATAATTATGGTATTCTAGATAAACCAGTTAGTGAGACAAGAATTAGATAGAAGTTGAAAAATTAATTAGTTAAAATTATTTTATCAGGGGCTGAAGAGATGGCTCAGAGGTTAAGAGCACTGGCTGCTCTCACAGAGGTCTTGAGTTCAATTCCCAGCACCCACATGGTGGCTCACAGCCATCTATAATGAGATCTGGTGCCCTCTTCTGGCCTGCAGGCATACATGGAGGCAGAATGTTGTATACATAATAAGTAAACCTTTAAAAATTATTTTTTCAGAACTCTCACGTAAAACTACTCCTAATTTTTCAACAACATGGCCAGAATCACTAGCTTCTTCATATGCAGCAGCTACAAAGCCTACTGGAGAAACCTTCCAAGAAGTGCAGAATCTGAGACAGGTGCCTCGGGGGCAGGAGGATCTTCAAGTTCAAGAACTGCCAGGGCTACACAGAGGAACCTTGTTTCAACAAACAAACAGTAAAACTGACCTCAGGCTGAAGAGATGGCTCAGCAGTTAAAAGCACCAGCTGCTCTCCAGAGGACTGGTGTTCAATTCCCAGCACATTTGTTACCCAGTTCTGGTGGATGGCACCATCTTGTGGTCTCCTTGGGCATCAAGCACACATGTCGTACAGACATATATACAGGCAAAATACACAAAATAGGCAAAACACACAAAATAATTTTTAAAACTGACTTCAGATCTGGTGGGTTTTCCACATGCTTGTAATCCGCAGCACTCAGAAGGTAGAGTCAGGTGGACCTCTGAGTTTGAGGCCAGCCTGTCCACAAAGTGAGTTCCAGAACAGCCAGAGTTGTTACAGACAAACCCAGTCGGGGTGTGGGAGACAAAACAAGACTGACTTCAAGGGTCTGGAGAGATGGCTCAGAGCATGTGTTGCTCTTGCAGAGGACCCAGGTTCTTTTCCCAGCACCCACATGGTGGCGCACAGCAATGGGCAACAAGTTCCAGGAGAGCCAGCCCCCTTTTGACCTCTGTGGATACTGTGCACATTGCAGATGAAATACCCATACATGTAAAATAAATATTTAATTGGGCATGGGTGGCAGACATGTCTTTAATCCCAGCACTCAGGAGGCAGAGACAGGCGGATCTCTGAATTGAGATCTTGATCTACATATGAAGTTCCAGAACCGCCAGGGCTACAAGCAACAAAAAAACCCAAATTTAAAAACAAACAAACAAACAAAATCGGGGCTGGAGAGATGACTCAGAGGTTAAGAGCACTGGTTGCTTTTCCAGAGGTCCTGAGTTCAATTCCCAGCAGCCACATAGTGGCTCACAACCATCTATAATGGGGTCTGGTTCCCTCTTCTGGCCTGCAGGCATATGTGCAGGCAGAATACTGTATGTAATAAATCTTTAAAACAAAAAACCCAAAAACCTGAGTCAAATAAATAAATAAATAAATAAATAAATAAATACTTTTATCCAAGGACTAGACAAGTTTAGAGATAAACATGCCACCCCCCCCCAAATCTGGGAAAATTCTATGAACGAAATTTCATTTTCCTTTTCAGTTGTAAAAATATAAATATCTGGACTGGAGAGATGGCTCAGAGGCTAAGAGCATTGCCTGCTCTTCCAAAGATCCTGAGTTCAATTCCCAGCAACCACATGGTGGCTCACAACCATCTGTAATGAGGTTTGGTGCCCTCTTCTGGCCTGCAGGCATACACACAGACAGAATATTGTATACATAATAAATAAATGAATAAACATTATATATGTGTATATATATATATATATATTTATCCATTAGGATTGGCCTACACACATGGAAATCAGATCCCAGAGTATAAAATTAGTTCAAATTCATGAGTGGCATTTCAGTTGGATGGATCTATCAAACAAAAGGGACAAATCGTTCAAGACACTAGTCCAAAAACATGGTTATAATCTTGTTTGGCAAACTGCCATTAAAAGTAAAATAAGATATTCAAGGAAAATATTTGCAATCTTCAACTGCAAAAGTATACTTCCTAAGTGCTAATGCTCTTTACCAGGCAAAGGAGAATACAAACAGCTAACAGTAGGAACAGTCAACTCTTCAAGCAGTGGCATACATCCTAGGAATCAGAGTACAGCAGAGAGGCCAGCCTGGTCTGCAGGCCAGCAAGGGCTACATGAGGAAGACCTGTCTCAAAAACAAACAACAAAGAAGCACAAATAAAAGCAAAAAAGTAAAGCCAAAGAATATACTTTATTAGTAAGATGGATATAAATGTTATTAGGAAAACATCCTCCTCCTATTAGTTTGATAGTAAAGTTTATTGAACAGCCTCAGCAACATCATGAGACCCTTTCTCAAAAAAGCAAAAGCTCACTGGCATGGGTGTGAGAAACCAGGCAGCCTTATATGGAGTTAGCTGAAGTACGACAGTTCAGTGATGCCAAAGTGCACCCATCTTTTCACCTTCACTTCTAAGTCATGTTCAAATGTGCGTACATATGTGGTCATTACATTTTCAGTAACTGGAGGCTAGAAACCATCTCCTCGAGGCTGTGACACTGGATAGCTGCATTCAGATACAGTGTTGTTTTTAAATGTGGGTGGCAAACATTCCTGTGCTAGTGTATGCCTGTCTGGGAAGAATATGTATGAAACTGGTTGGCTGGTTTGGGCATAGAACAGGTTGGCAGGAAAGAAAGCTGGAGGTAGCAGTACAAACATACCTATAATCCCAGCACTTGAAAGGCTAAAAGCAGCAAGATCACCAATTTGAGGTCAAACCCCACCTCAAAAAAAAAAAAAAAATCCAAAAATAAAAAACCCTGGAGCTGGTGGGGGTACTCAGATCCTAATACTTGACAGGTAAAAGGGCTGCAAGCTCAGGGCCAGTCTGGTCTATACTGAGTTTTAGGTTAGCCATAGCTATATAGTAAAACCCCATCTCAAACCAAGACAAAAATTGAAACTAAATTTTTTGCTTTTTGCATTTTGTTTGTGTGTGTATATGTAGGGGCATGTAAATGCCACCAGTGTGGAGATCAGAGGGCAATTTATGGCACTTGGTTCTCTTCCATTATGTAGATTCTGGAGATTGGAGACTGAACTTTTTTTTTTTTTGAGACAGGGTTTCTCTGTAGCTTTGGAGTCTATCCTGGAACTAGCTCTTGTAGACCAGGTTAGCCTTGAACTCACAGAGATCCGCCTGTACTGTCTCTGCCTCCTGAGTGCTGGGAGTAAAGGTGTCTGCCACAACTTTATCCATCCTACTGGTACAAAACTTTAAGAGCTAATTCAGAGGCGGCTGGGTGGTGGTGGCGCACGCCTTTAATCCCAGCACTTGGGAGGCAGAGGCAGGTGGATCTCTGTGAGTTTGAGGCCAGCCTAGTCTACAGAGCCAGGACAGGCTCCAAAACTACAGAGAAACCCTGTCTCGAAAAACCGAAAAAAAAAAAAAAGCTAATTCAAAGGCACAAGTAATTTAGCATCAATACTCATCATATCGGACTAATGTTAGTGTGTGTGTTGATGTATTTATGGGCCAGAGGTTGACATCAAATGAAATGCCTTCCTTTATCATCACTCTTTAAGAAAAAATATTCTGTATTTGTACAGGCAAGCACGTGTATGTGCATGTGCTCAAGGTCAGAAGCATCCCAATCACCTGGATGGAGCTGGAGTTACAGGCAGTGGTGAGCTGCCTGATGTGGGTGCTGGGAACTTACTGAGGTCCTCTGCAATAGCAGTTTTTTTTTTTTTTTTTTGAGGCAGGGTTTCTCTGTGTAGCTTTGGAGCCTGTTCTAGACTCACTCTGTAGACCAGGCTGGCCTCGAACTGACAGAGATCTGCCTGCCTCTGCCTTCCGAGTGCTGGGATTAAAAGCATGCACCACCACCGCTGGGTAAGCAGTGTACTCTTAACCAATGAACCATTGAGACATTGCTCTAGCCCTTGCTCTCATTTTGTGAAACAGTTTCTCACTTAACTTGGACTTTACTGACTGGCTAGGGCCAGTGAGTCCTGGGGGTCTGCTGGTGTCTCCACAGTGGCAGGCACTGCATGTGCATGCTGCCATGCTCATATTTCACACGGGTGCTGTGGTGTGCACTCAAGTCTTAGTGAGTGCTTGCACAAGTGCTTTACTCAACTGAGCCTTTGCTCCAGCCCAATAGTCACACATTAAAGGGTTTTTTTTTGGGGGGGGGGGGTTCGAGACAGAGTTTCTCTGTGGTTTTGGAGCCTGTCCTGGAACTAGCTCTTGTAGACCAGGCTGGTCTCGAACTCACAGAGATCCGCCTGCCTCTGCCTCCTGAGTGCTGGGATTGAAGGCGTGCGCCACCACCGCCTGGCCACATTAAAGTTTTTAACCATTAGCTGATCAGATGTTTTAACAACCAACTAGTTAAGTGCTATGAATTCAGAACTAAGCCAGAACTTCTGAAATAGTGAAAAATGCTTTCAATCATAATATTTAACAACATGTACAGAATTTGTGTTAAGTAATACAATCCCTAGGATTTCCTGCTTAAAGAAAATGAGTGGAAATCATTGTCAAATTCCCTAGAGTTATCTACTGGGAACAGGCCAGGTGGCTTCATCTGTAAAAAGGCATTAAGCTTAAAACAACAGGTAGTAGATCTGTTTGTTCACATTCATAGATAGTTTTATTCAGCTTCTAGAAAAATATATACAACAATCAGAACCACGGTTCTCTTAAATACTTTTAAATTAAAAGTGTACAAGTGAAAGTTTCCACAGTCAGAACATCAATACTGTGTAATGAAGTAGACAGGAATGTCTGCATGTCTAGGAATTAAGAACTGAGTAGGAGCAGCTTGTGGCTGCCAAGTGGTCAGCGCTGATCCCATCTAAGAGATTTGAAAACAAAATACTACATGCCTGCCTCTGAGTAAAACAGCTGAATGCTGGGCACATACCAACAGGCATTCGTCAAACCAAAACTTGCCACTTCAACTGGTATTCATTTAAATTTGTAAATATTAGGATTACCTGTCAGTCATCATTCAACTGGTAGCAGATGCAACAAAACTCAGGGGTTTAAGAAGCTTGTTATTGCCATCTACTTCAGATTAATTTCTACTTTTTCAACATTCTTTGGAATGTCTGTGGAAAGCATTTTTACTTAAACAGACCTTGGAGTTCCAAGTAGTTTGAAAGCTGAGCATGGAAGCTATAGGAACAGCCTTAGTTTTGTTCCAATTCTGTCCTTTGCCCCACACTGTAGGCACCGTAGTGTACCCCATTTACATGGATCCCCCTCCACTGGTTCCAGGGCTTTTCCTGGAAATCAGATCATCAGTGCACCAACCAAGGGCCAGTGTATCATGAGATAAACACTGCCAGCCACCTCGCTTCCTGCTTTTGCCGATTAAGCAAAGCAATGAGGCAGATACCTTTAGCAACATCAAGCTTTTGAAATTGCGCTTATGTGTCTGAATGGGAGGTGGGGAGAGAAAACAAGCAGATCAGAACTGGAGGTCTCGTTAAGAGTAAGAGGACAGAGATGGGTATTTTGTTCTTTGTTCATCTATTTCCTGCTTTGTTTTCTTGATGCAACTAAATATCTCCTTAAATAGTGCTTTGTATTCTGGAGGTGTAGTGGTGGGGGAAGTGGTGGGCTCTGGGGTGACAGGGGTGGGTTCCCAGCCACTGGCTCCAGCCTCACACGGGGTTACCAGTCCTGTCAGGTCCCTGGGCAGCAGCCTAGAGGTCTGGACGGCCTTGTGTGACAGTGAGTCCTGCTCCTGCTGGCACTTCTTCAGTAGCTCTTCATACTTCACTTTCAGGGCACTGTACTGAGTGTCCACTTCATGCAGAAGGGAGATGCCCCTCTGCTTCACAGCCTTAGCTCTCCTGATGCAAGTCTCCTCATGGCCCTTCACAATGTCACCCCCTGCCATGCTGCTGAGCACCGTCTCACTGCTGCTGCGCTTAAGCGGTTTCCGTTGTGCTTCTGGAGCAGCTAGGAACATCTCCTCCAGCAGGCTCTGGCTGGGCTCCTTGAAAGTAACAAACAAAGAGTCGGACACCAGCTTCTCAACCCCATTCACAAAAGGGTGCTCTGCCTGCAGCATCTGCCGCATCTCAGCCACCTCAGCCTCCAACTCCAGTGCCCGGGCTCGGAAGGCATCTGTGGCACCCAGCTGCTGCTCCAGCTCACTGTTCTCTTTCAGCACCACCTTATACTCCGCCTCCACGCTCACTCGCTTCTTCCTCTCTATGCTCAGCTGGGCCTGCAACATCGTCACTGTCTTTTTCAGGTGCTCGTTTTCTTCTTCTTCGGGGCTTTGTTGGTTTTCCAAGGAAGTGATCTTCTCAGCAAACACGTGGTCATATACAAAGTGTCTATGAAGAAACATGGAAATATTTAAAGGTCAACTTACGGTGCAAAGGAGGCTGCTGGGGTTTTTCAACAAAATTTTTGTTTGTTTTGTTTTTTTGAGACAGGGTTTCTCTGTGTAACAGCCATAGCTGTCCTGGAACTAGCTCTTGTAAACCAGACTGGCCTCTAACTCACAGAGATTCACCTGCTTCTGCCTCCCGAGTGCTGGGATTAAAAGAGTACGCCACCACTGCCCGGCTCAACCAAATCTTTTAAAGGAGCAGTGACACCAATTTTTAGCCCATTCAATATTATAAGCAGTGGCTAAAATGAAGCTATATGAGTCTGGAAAATTCTTGAAAGCAAACACAGTTTTTGTGACTGATTTTTCCTCCCAATAGTAAAAGTAGTGTAGAAAACTCACTGGCAGATCAGAAGAATGACAGTGGCTTACTAGGAAATATAATGGACCAGAGAGTCTCATCTCTAGCTGCAGATCACGACCAGTGGGTGGTCTTAAAAACCTGGAGCTCACACCATTGATCCTCATTGGTCTGCTATCTGGACCTACAGGGTTTTAAATGTTCTCCATAATGTCAGACCAAGGTTATGGAACATGATGTTTGGACTTTTAACTTAGGATACACATCAGAACCACCAGAACAGCTTTAGGTTCATGCCAAGAAATTCTGAACTGAGAGAGACTTAATATCCGTCTTTGGAAAACATTCATAGTGCTGGGTGCACACACGTAATCTCAGCTCTTGGGAAGTGGAGGCAGGCGGATCAGGAGTTTGAGGCCAGATGACTGTATGAGACCTTATTTCAAACCCCTCAAATCTCCATAGGTAACGTGACACAAAGTAAAGGACGAGAAACATTAGCCGCCTCTCCTACTCAGGCTCAGGCAGCTTGTGTATTTATTTCTTGGCTGTGGAGCATCTGACTTTATGAAAGGTCATGAAGACACAAGTTATGTCTACTTTGGTCATCATTCCTGGTAACTGGCACATCAGCTGCAGTGTAACAGGTGTTTAGTAAGCATTTATTAAAGACTCAAACTCATAATTACAAATTATATAGGTATTTCTTTAGGTGAAAATACTTGTTTGCCTCAATTTTTGTGCTATCAAAAACATTTTTTTTGGTGACAGGTCTCTCTCTGTAGTCCTGGCTGTCCCAGAACTCGCTATGTTCTGGCCTGGAATTCACAGAGCATGCCCCTGCTTCCTGAGTGCTGGGAGTAGAGACATGCACCATCACACCCACCTTCTAAAATTCCCATTTTTCTTTCATTCTAATGTGAAATATAGCCCCCAAATCTGTACTGTGGCAGAAGTATTACTAATTTTAAACTAATATTTTTTATTATTTTTTTCATATTTTAAAAATTATTATTTAATATATATAGATCTTTAGTTTTTAAACTAATATTCAACAAATTAAAATGAAAAGAATGACTGACACCCATAAGCTTTCACTGTTATGTTTAAGTTCAGTGGCTTTGGGTTTAGCAGGCAAAGGGCACATCCTGAAATGGAGCTTTTCATCTCCTGTAATCCAGAATGTGTCACGCCATGGGATGTCCCCAGCTTGCAAACCCACAGAAAGGTAGGCTCTTACTGGCGGAGGTCATACAGCTCTTTCAGATAGGAGAAGCTGGGTGCTGGTTTCTCCTGGTCACATGTCTTCTGCCGCTCTCTTTCTTGGCTGGAAGATTTCAGCTCCTTCACTTGGTTCTGGAGGTGATCAATGTTGTTTTGTAGGCATTCAATTGTTTCCGTCAGGCTGTAAATAAGACACAAGCTGGTTGCTGCTTGTCACATTAAATTAAGATCAAAACCTACCAAAGAGGATTAGGTATGAGCCACTCAAACTTGGCTTTCTTAATTGGAAAAAACTTACAGTTAATCCTCAGTCCCCTAAAATAATGAACCCTTATCCTATACGGCTCAATCCCTCTACAGACACATTCTTCTTCAAATTATACTAAATAACTCCTTTGTAGATTTCCCTCAGTAACAGATTTTACCTTAGGATTTTCTGTTGCGAGGCTTTGCTCTCAGCCACAAGCTTCTGGTTGGTCTCTTCCAGTTCTCTTGCTGTGACATCTAACTGCTCGTAAACTTTTGCATGCTGCTCATTCATTTGCCGCAGGAGCTCCACCTGTTTGGTCAGGTACTGTGAGAGAAGAGTGACAGCAGGTCACACACACAGATAAGGTAGCCGCATGCTTCAACACGCATTGTCGGACTGTTGGGCTCGCCAACACCAACTATGCCAGGTGAGGGCTTAGGGCTTCCACTTGTGGGCTCAGCATGCTCCTGGCATGGTGATGTTTGCCCAGTCCAGAGGCTCCCAGAGCCTTGATGGCCCGCAGGCCCCTCTCGGGGCCTGTCACTGCAGCCCTCCAGTGCCATTCCTCATCCTAGCATTCAGGACAGTAGGTTTTAGAGGAGTTTTGTACCAGAATGAGGGACAGAGACCAAATGTCAACTTTATATTATACCACAGTGTCATTGGTTTATTTAATGAAAAAGAGAAGTTAAATTCCAATAAAAACTACCTGCTTTAATAAGAAACAGGCACAAGCTATCCTTGATGTGCTTAGCTCCATTACTGCTTGACAATACTCCTACATACACGAGGTTAGTCTAATTTTACAAAACATATGCTTAACATTCAAAAGCAAAACCCAAAGTGAAATATGATAATCCCACAAGAAGAAAAGTTTGGGAAAACACAATAAAAATGTAAACAAAATATGTCTAATAAGGGCTGAAGAGATGGATCGGTGGTCAAGAGAACTTGTTCTTGCAGATGACATGGGTTCGGTTCCCAGCACCCACTCAGCACCCAGGGACCCTGGTCTTTCTGACCTCTGCAGGTATCAGGAATACATACAGTGCCTGATATATTCAGTGCCATATATATTCAGGCATAAGATTCACACATATAAAAATAATAAATCTTTAAAGAACAGAAAAGATTTTAAAAAAAAGTTTAAATGAAAGGAAAAGAAAGAAAAGCTTAATGTGAAAAAATTTTTTGATGGTTTTCACTTGGAAAAAAAAATCAATCTTTTTTTCCTGAGTGAGATGTTTCAGACAAACACTAGTGAAAATACATTAATTTTACCAGATACTTCAATAGATATCAAATCCTTGTTATTTCTACTCCATAAGAATGCCATCTCCACCATCTTTCTCAACTTACTTACCAGGTTATTTATTTTGATCCTACTAAGACTGCTTTCTGAAGACCAAGGATAAGGGGGATAAGCACAATCTTAATGCCAGAGTTAGGTCACCTGGATTCCCTCGCTACTCAGTTCCACCCAACATACTAAAGTGTAGCAGATATTCCAAACTGAACATTCCTACTGGATATGACCAGAAGAGGGAAAAAAAGAGGTTTTAAATATAATCCTATGGTAGCAGACTTGACTTTAAAAACCCTTCCTAGCCAGGTGGTAGTGGAGCATGCCTTTAATTCCAGCACTTGGGAGGCAAAGACTGGCGGATCTCCAAGGCCAGCCTGTTCTACAAGAGCTAGTTCCAGGACAGGCACCAGAGCTACAGAGAAACCCTGTCTTGAAAAAACAAAAACAAAACAAAAACCCTTCCTGAGGTATTTTACAGAACTATTCTGTAAAAAAAGCCAAGTGACTTTTTTTCTTTTTTTACTGAGACAGGGTTTTTCTGTGTAGCCCTGGCTGTTGTTGAACTCAAGAGATCTATCTGCCTCTGCCTCCTGAGTGCTGGAACTAAAGGTGTGGACCACCATGCCACCACTGCTGGGTGACCTTTGCTTTTTTGAGATAAAGTCTGTTATATACCTCCAGAGAGGCCAGCTCTGGTCTTTGGCCCTCCTGACTTGCCTCCTAATCCTGGGATTACATGTGTGTACCACTGTGGCTGTCTTTCAACATTCTTCTTTCGAATAAACAGAGCTCAGTGGTATTCAGTGGTATGACATGTAACTTTTGGGATGCTTACATACCACATGCACAGAACAAACAACCCCTCTTTGGCTTCAACTTTCTCCTATGAATCTCTCGGGGTCAAAAATGTTCTGAAAATTCTACCATCACCATTCCCAAACAAACCATAGTACTTACAACTTATGCTTTATTAACACTCCTGTGACGTTCGGGCAGGACTCTGTAATTAAGCATTGGAACTTTCACATCAAAAAGTATAAAGACTACAAACAGCCTCAGATCAGTTCAAGATTTGCTAGCACTTAAATTGCTGTAAATTTAAGGGATTAAGACCTCAGAACTTCTGGGGTTCGGCAGTGGTAAGGGGTTGTAGATATTAGTAGCTGCTAGAATTGACATGATTAAGTTAGCACGAAGCAAGGTATCTATGAAAGTCCATCTATTCTTCACTGTCTACATCTCTACAAGTTTCTCTCGGTCTCTTGGAAAACAACCACTCAACTTCTTACAGGAAGCCTTTTCAGACCTGTAGGAGAAAGCTCTGGGTTCTGCCCCCGGCTAGTAATGACACAGTGGTTTCCTGTCATCCGCAGGAATGTGTTTCATTTCTTAGGAATACTCGAGAGGGTAAAGGGCTTAGGGTCAAGAGTGTATGTGATCGTGGTGGCAAGATGGCTCAGGAGTAAAGGCACTTGCTACCAAGCCTGACGACCAGATTTCAATGCCCAGAACTCGTATGGTAGAAGACGAGTGCTGACTGTGACCCCGCTGCGTGTGGTGGCACATCTGCACACAAACATGTGCACGAGTGTACTTAGTAGAGAAATGCACATCTTCAACATGGAAAATCTTGGAAGTTCCCTTCTCCTGACCCAGTGGTGTGGGAGCTGAGGAAGCCGTGAATGACTGTGCAAGGGGCAGATTAAGTCCTGAGTAAATGTATGTGGTTGACATGGGCACAGCCATGTCAAGGATTCCTGATGCCTCAGACCCACAGAAATGGCTAAGACTTCCTCATATTCAGGCTTAAGTATGAGTATATATGAACTGATCAGTAAATACGGAACTACCAAACACCACAGCTTTCTCATGACAGTTACACCTGAAACTGCTCCCCTGCAGAAACCTCCCACCACAATTAGCTAAACCTGTCTCCTTGTTCAGCTATAGACCATAAACTCACCTTATCAGCTGTATACAGAAAACCTGTCTCTTCCATCCAGGTGCACAAAATAAACACTTAAGTTCCCGGCCGCTGCTGCTACATTTGTGCCCTCCATCAGAGCGAGCACGGCCCACCTAATCCCAGCTTTTCTGACACGGGTCTGTGTATCTTCCTTTCTACATTACCCTGTCACCTCAGCCAGGTGTACAGCATCAGGGCACACGGGAAACAGCTCAGTGGCTTTTTCTCTGGGGTCTAGCATGTACCAAGACAAACTCTGACATGTGCATGTACATGCATGTTTTGAAGCTAGGCCAGTGTCCTACCTGTAAACTGTAACTCTAGTACCAAGCTAGGTTAATGGCTACTGTTCCCCTTCACATCACACAGCTGCTGTCACTCACTAGAATCAGTTTTAGTTTGTCTGACACATCATGTTTACCGCAGCATTACATTCCCATATATTCTTACAACCATTAATTCCTCAGCATTACAAGCTAGTCATCTTAACTTTGTATTACTTTATGACTTCTCAATCCACTCAAATTCTGACTTTTTACAGATAACTAAATTCTTCCCAACATGTTTTTAAACTATTATAATTTTAAACATACAGATAATAAAATTTCAACCATTACAATACAGAGAAAGTTTTCACCTCTACTGCCGTCACCCTTGGTCATCACAGGACAGATTCACAGCATCGTTACCCAGTGCCCTGAGTGTTGATTTTAGAGTAGTCACAGTGGCGAAAGGGAGACCTCACACTCTTAGTGTCTACCAGGCTTCACCATTTCCCCAGTAACCTCAGTATTCCTGTCAGCTTCACGTGTTAGCTTTGGAGTCTCTGGGTTTTTTTAAATTTTTATTTATTTATTTTTGGTTTTTCAAGACTGGGTTTTATTGGAGCGAGTCCTGGAACTCTGTAGACCAGGCTGCCCTTGAACTCACAGAGATCTGCCTGCCTCTGCCTCCCAAGTGCTGGGATAAAGGCAGGTGCCTTTTTTTTTTTTAATCTCTTTTATTTTGTATGGGGCCAGAGAGATTGCTCAGCAGTTATGAGCACTGGCTGCTCTTCCAAATGACTTGGTGTTCAATTTCTAGTACCCATATGCCTGCTCACAACTTTCTGTAACTCCAGTCTGATGCCCTCTTCTGGCATCTCTGGGCACTACATACATGTGGTACACAGATAAACCAATACACATAAAAAAGATTTTTTTTTTATTTATTATGTATACAATGTTCTGTCTGTATGCCTGCAGGCCAGAAGAGGGCACCAGACCTCATTACAGATGGTTGTGAGCCACCATGTGGCCGCTGGGAATTGAACTCAGGACCTTTGGAAGAGCAGGCAATGCTCTTAACCACTGAGCCATCTCTCCAGCCCCCATAAAAAAGATTTTTTAAAAACTTACTTTTATTATGTTTAAGTGTGTGTGTGTGTGTGTGTGTGTGTGTGTGTGTGTGTGTGTGTGCAAACACATACCATATGGACACATAGATGCAGGAGTTTGTGGAGGCCAGAGGTGTCAGATTCCTCCTAGAGCCAGAGTTATAGTCAGCTGTAAGTTGCCTGATATGGGAGCTGGGAGCCAAACTCCAGCCCTCTGCCAGGGCATCACACGCTGTTAAACTCTCAACAGCTGAGCCCTCTCCATGCTACCTCTGGCTTGTTCTATCTGACCCAGCAGCTCTTCACCTGGGGCTCACAGACAGCCTTTAGAAAGGGTCTGTGAGCACTATGGGGAAGACAGGTATTTGAAAAATTCTAACTGAAAACTGGAAGGCATTTCCTTCAATTATGAATGAAAGTCACAAACCACAGCAGTACCAGGGGCATTTGCCACCAATAGAAATCACAAGTATTTCATATCATACTGTAGGGTTTACAGAAATGTTGACATTTTACTTAGATATGTCACTATTTGAAATTATTATTTGAAATTACGATAGTTCTTAGAATGCCTATATATTCTGTATTATATATCGTGAATTTGTTTCTACAATATTTTCTGGCTATCTAAATATGATATTTTATTTATAATTCAGTGTTTAGTTGAGATGGTAAAGTCTGGCTATGTAGGTTGGCCTTAAACTGACAATCCTCCTGCCTCAGCCCCTAAATGCTGAGATTCTGAGACTGAACCACTTTTGGTGCTATAGTGCATTTGAAAAGGCTCACCACAAACTTTGACAGACAGCTCGCAGGATCTGTGGCATAAACGTGGCCAACCACTTTAGTTATCCTTAGGCCTCATTTTCAGCGTAAGCTCTTTGCAACCTGCGCCAGGGCTGAAGCTGTTTAGCAGTTAGCACCTGCCACTCTTGCACGGGACCCAGCTTTAGTTCCCAGCACCCATGTGGTGGCTCACAACTGTCTAGGCCCTCCGCACCCTCTCCTGACCTCATACACATGAAATGCTTTGCCAGAGTACTTGCGCTCATCTACAGCAGCACCGAGGACCCGCATTCCTCTCAAGACAACACAGCAATCAACTCAACTGCTTGACTCTTCCTATCCCTCTCTTTCTGGGATATTGTTCTCTATCTAGCTCATTTCTTACTTATTTAGTAGGAATTACAATTTATTAACTAAATATTCATTTCTAGACGTCTGTTTACAATAGCTGTGTTCAATACCACAATTCAGAGTACAAATGTCAATTAGAAAGGTCTAATTTAAAAGCTTCTGTGATGGGCTTGGCTCTAGACCTGGGAAAAGCCTATTAACCACCAATTCCCATTTGACTCTCTATTCTCATGACCCCAACATTACTCAGAGGCTCAGAAACCTGAAGGGGAAATATTTATAATACATACCACATATTGCACAGAGCCCAAGTTAAGCCTTTTTTTTTTTTAAACTGACAACTTAGGCTTGTGACCAACATACAAGAAATAAATCAACATACAAAGAAGTACAAAATGGCTACTAAAACCTACAAAAAGTGCCTCTTGTTCGCTATATGAAAATCTGTGATTAAAAACACAAAGAAGCCATTGAAGAACTTGTGATATCTTAGCCTTAGACGGGTTGGCTTTGAGGATAACCCAAGTACGCCAAGAAGCTTGTTTTCATGTGGTAGGAGTTTAATTATATTAAGCACCAATAATCAGAAAAGCCATTCATTCTTCAAGACTCAGTCACAGACAACCAACAAGGGGGTCTCATTTGTTCAGGAACTGCAAAGAAAAACTACTGACTCCCTAAGTAAGTGCTGTGTATGGCAGACACCAAACTAGGTGTTGTTAGTCTAGATCTCTTAGTTTTTTTCTTCACTTCATACAGAAGGAAATAGGTTATCTTTCCCACTATTCACCTCAAAGTCCATACATACTTCTAATATTCTCATTTTCTCAATTGAGAATCTGGGACATTACTTCAGGTCTGACTGCCACATTGGGGGGGACACGAGAGTGGCAGCAAAGTAGACAAAAATGCCAACAAGAACATCAGGCTTGGGAAGACGCTTCAGCTGGTAAAGTGCTCACTTTGCAAACACGAGGACTTGAGTTCAATCCCCAGAACTCATGTTTAAAAAAGCCAGGAGCCAGGCATAGCGGGACACGCCTTTATTCCCAGCCCCGGGAGACATAAACAAGTGGATCTGTGAGTCCCTGCCAGCCAGGTCTATGCAGGGAGTTTCAGACCAGTCAGTACTACATAGAGCGACCCTGTCGCAAAACAACAACAAAGGAATTTAGCTGCCCAGCAGTGTGAGCGTTAACCTTTAATCAAGGACTACAGCCAAGTCTTTTAAATTTAATATAAAAATAATTTTTAGCCGGGCGGTGGTGGTGCACGCCTTTAATCCCAGCACTCGGGAGGCAGAGGCAGGCGGATCTCTGTGAGTTCGAGACCAGCCTGGTCTACAAGAGCTAGTTCCAGGACAGGCTCCAAAACCACAGAGAAACCCTGTCTCGAAAAACCTAAAAAAAAAAAAAAATAATAATAATTTTTAGAAATAGTGAAGAAATAATTCCTATTAAACGCTGAAAGTCCATTTTCCCTGATTATAGTAATATGTTTCTGCCACAGGATGTACAGGGGTGGAGAAGTAGGAATATGAAACTAAAGGTCACATATCATCACACTATTAAAAGCTTACCAAGTTGGTTTGTGTTTATTATGTGTAGTACATGTATGTGTGGAGGCCAGAGGCTGACATTAGGTGTCTCCCTTTTATTGTGACAGGGTCTCTCTCTGAATCCGGAGTTCACCCATAGCTCTATAGACAGGTAGTCAGGGACCCAGCTGTCTCTGCTCCCACTGCATCACAGATGTACGCCATCATGATTGGCTTTCACGTGGGTGGGTTCTGGGGATACAAACTCAGGTTTTTGTGTTGTGTGGTAGTCACTTTACCAACACAGCCATTTTCCAGCCCTAGCTTGCCAAGTCTTTAAGATTTACTGTCCACTAAATAGACAGGATTTTTTTTTCCAGAATTAAGACTGTTGCCCTATAAATATTCTGAAATGAGTATATAATGATGTAGTAATTACCGAAATCCAAAACATATTCTTATGATCTCATCATCCCCTCAGAGCACCCTGCACCAATGTAGTGCCAACATCCGTCACCATTCCCTGAAGGAGCAGACAGTCTAAGAGATGATTTACATGGCTGAGCTCTCTATTTGCAAATCTAATCAAGGGCTGATGCCCAAAGTCTCTGAAGACAAAGGCCAGTGCTCCCTCCTTACCTTCAAAAATATTAACTAGTTACTGACTACATGTGAAAGACCATGAATAAACATAGCAACAGTCACTATGAAAATTGAGAAAGTAGAAAAATGTCAACTAAAAAATAAGTACAATATAAAATATAATATTAATAAATGTAGTAAAAATACAAAATACTTTAAAATTCCCAGGGGATGGGGGCTGAAGAAGTGGCTCAACGGACAAAGTGCTTCCTATACCACACGCAGAAGACATCCACACGCATTAGAAAAAAAAAAAGAAAGAAAGAAAAACTTTAAAAATGTACTTATTTTTGAGACAAATCTCTTTCAACTATGTAGCCCTGGCTGGCCTGGCTCACTATGCCAACACCCCCTTCCCCGTGTTTTAATTACTTATGTAATGAGGAACACTGTCAGTAAACACTACACAAAGCTTAGCACTGAGGAGTTGTAATTCAGCAGTAGAATGTGTATTCAGCATGTGCAATGCACAGCGCCAAATGACGCTGAAGAAAAAAATTCACAGTTTGTCCAAGTTATTCCATTCCTGTGAAGGTCCAACTGAGGCTTATCTAGGCCTCCAGGTGAGAGCAGGCTCCAGCAGTGGTGACTGGACGGGTGGATAACACTTTCACACCTTATCTGAGTGTTGGCTGCAGGGGTATGTTTACTTCATAAAAATTTACAGGGGCTGAGGCAGGGGGACTGCAAGTCTGAAACCCACCCAAATTACAGAACAAACAAGTTCCCAAACAAACAAGAATTTAAATTCTTTGAGTGGCACAGGAGTTTAAATACACTATAAAATCAGATACTGCATCAAAACAAAACAAAACAAAACTTCTTACCTAACTCTAAATTGGAATGGTGCTTGATAGCTGGAGGGAGGGAGGTGCCACAAGGAACAGTACAGGGCGGCACTGTGGGTGGCTCTCTTCATTGAGCGTGGGCGTGTGCAGGGGTCTTTGTATGTGTAGTTCTGCACTGCTTTTCTGTATACCTGACATAGTGCATAACTCATTTTTGAAAGAAAAAAGCTTAAGAAGCTAAGTACAGCTTCATTTTGTTTTTCATACTGACAAATACTAGATTGGTTTCTTCTTCTTTTCTTTTTCTTTTTTTGTTTTTTTGAGACAGGGTTTCTCTATAGCTTTGGAGCCTGTCCTGGAACTCGCTCTGTGGACCAGGCTGACCTTGAACTCACAGAGATCCACCTGCCTCTGCCTCAGATTTAAAGGCGCAAAGGATATGACTGGTTCAACAGTAAAGTGCCACCCATGGGGAGGTTGTAACTCGCTCACTGAGTCAATTACCTCAATTTCCTGTAGCTGCTCCTGATTGGTTGTGTACATCTGCTGAAGAGACTCCTCCAACTCTGTGTTCCGATCCAGCAGCGTCTTTCCAAGTTCAGCAGCAAGCTGGAGATCTAGCGCAACAAATATCTTAGAATGCGGCAAGTATGAGCTCACGTCAACGTTTTACATAACCCAGCTCTTAAAATAAACAAAGCAAGTCCCAACACGTGCAAGTCAGATCCTAATGGAATGCAGAATGGCCTAGAAAGAAATGTGAGTGCTATTTAAAATTCAGTTGAATTGGGGTCTGCTAGCAGGTGAAGTATTTGCTCATGCACCCTAGTCAGACATGAAAGAAAGCAGTCTACTTAGAGAGAAAGATGTGGGCATTAGTTCGGGAATGATCATTTAGTACTATAGCTCTACAACAGCATTTGGTAACAGACTTATTCAAACCCCGACACTAAGATGGATCCAAAGCACAGGCAGGTCTCTCAGCAGCCTCTAAAATTCCCATTAAGCTGCTGTGAACACAACTGACAAAGCAGTTTGTTGCTTGTTCCCCCTACTCAAGACAGGGTTCTGTCTAGTCCAGGCTGTCCTGGAACTCACTAAGTAGACCAGGATGGACTCGAATTCACAGAGAACCACCTGCCTCCCAGCCATGTCTGGACTTTTTTTTTTTTTTTAATTTATGTGTATGTGTGTGTGCCTATGAGAGTTTGTGCAGCAGTGAAGTTCAGAAGCAGGCACTGGATCCTCTGGAACTGAAGTTACAAGCAGCTGTGAGCTGCTTGGTATAGGTGCTAAGAATCTAATCCAGGTCCTCCACAAAAGCAATATATGTTCTTAATGGCTGACCCATCTCTCCAGCAGCCCTAGCCTTAAAAAGCAACTAAATATTAATGCAAGAAATGGAGAGTACACAGCAAGGTACTTGCTTCACAAGTCTGTCTTTTGCTCTCATTCATCCAACCAAATTTCCATCACATCTTTGAAGCAAAGCAGCAATATGGTTTAATTCACATGTCCCTTAAACATAGAGCCAGGAGTCAGGTAGTGGTGGTGCATGCCTTTAATCCCAGCACTCGGGAGGCAGAGACAGGCAGCTCTCTGTAAGTCTGTAAGTCTGAGGCCATCCTGGTCTACAAGACCTAGTTCCAGGACAGCTAAGGCTGTTACACAGAGAAACTCTGTCTCGAAGAAAAAAACAAAACAAAACGAAACAAAAAACATAGAGCCAGGTAATTCTTTCTTTTGAATGAGGGCTTTACTCCATGGTTCTGGCTGTCCTGGGTAGTCACAGCAATTCTTCTGCCTCAGCTTCCCAAATACTAGGATTACAAATATGAGTCACCACATCTGGCTTCCTGCTTTAAAGCTTACTTGTTAACTATCTTCTTAAGCATATGTGCAAATAAGACAGGTTTTGTTTATTTTATATTATAATTACAGCATTAAAAGCTTAGTAATAACATAAAACCAAACCAAACCAAAAACCAAAAGAAAAAAAAATGCTGGCAATGTAAATACCCTGTCAGGAGAGGTATTCTCAGGAGAAACCTGTGCCCATTTCTCAAATAATTAAACTCTCCCCAGGAACCCTCCACCAGGGAAAAGGAAAGGCTGTTTCACACAGTTCTGACAATTTATGAGCCCACTCTTCAGGACAGACCTGAGCCGAGACAATGGTAGGCAGGAGCACATCATGACCAGCATTGCTTAACTATATACCTCTTGTGCTCTATTTTCACCCACATCTCCTGCTCATACCACTCCCTTAAATGGACATGGGTGTAGTCATTAGCCCCTCATTTGTGTTCCTCTTCCCAGTGTAGAAATCTCTTGCTTTTCACTATTACCTGTTTCCACTATCACTTTTCTCTTTAGGGTGTACTGGAGACAGGTAGCTGAGCTTAGCTGTCAGGTGTTGCCAGAGTACAAGTTTTTCCTTTAAAAATTCCAACATTTACAGTGACACAAGTAACTGACAATGGCCCGGCCCTATGACAGTGGGAAATGTGACGAATCTGGGCAGAAGGGTACGAGGTCCAGTTCTGTTTAACGTTTTCTAGGACAGTGATTTTAAACGCTTTCATTTTGGTTTTGTATTGTGTGTCTGTCTCTGTGCGGAGGTATGTGAAAGGAGTGTGGCTGCCCACAGAAGCCAGAGTTGGAATTATAGGCGGTTTAAGCTGTCTCATATGGTGCTGGGAACTAACTGACTCTCTGCAAGAGCAGTACATCCTCTTAACTCCTGAGCCATCTTTCCAGTCCCCAAATAGTGATTTTAAAGGTCCCTACAGCTAACTGTCTCATCTGGAGAAGTGACTATTTTGTTAATATCACAGTGTAACAATGAAATGCAATAATAGGAAGCCCTTTCCAAACTAAGTTGCAATACACAAAGCATGTCTAGCAGGTATTGGTTTAGATGCCTTTAGATATCAGTTCCTAGAAAATACTACCCGGAACAGGTGAAGGTCTTGCTTTGTTGACTTCCCTAGGCTATTAGAGAAGCTAGACAGCACCTAACACTACCCAGATTCTGCTTTAATGATTGTATTCACAGACGCTCACATATATATTCGGTAGTATTGGATCATGTTTTAGGCACCAGGGATTATAGGGAATTCAGATTTTTTAAAATGGGGAGAAAGCAGCATGATAAAATAGATAATAGAGGCTGGGCAGTGGTAGGACTAAACTAGAGACATCTAAGTAGGTGGAGAGACCAGGGAGGCTTGGCAGGATCATTCTGGCTGCCTGCTGTGCAAACACACTGAATGGGACAAAGACAGAGCACAGTGGTAAGACACGGTAATTGTCTAGGAGAAAGAACAGTGGTTTGGCCTAGACACTGGAAATGGAGAAAAGGAACAGACTTAAACATGACTTGAAAGGAAAAGCTCTAAGGATTTGTTGATTAATTTGATACTGACTATAAGAGGGGAAAAGTTAAATTATGTAAGGAGGAATCTAATTTTAGCTATGGCTTGAAAGATGGGAAGTCATCATGGGAGAGCCAGGAAATAACTCATCATATTCTACAATCTGGCAAGTAGCTGGTAAAAAGAAAGCAAGAAAAGAGAATGAATTGAGTTGAAATGGGAGAAGCAGGGAAAGAGCAATCATATTAAGACGTTACAGCCATGGCAGAGAAATTTTAAATTGTATTCTCTGTGTTGGCAAGTCACTTCAGCTACTAAAATACAAATAATGTATCATGAAAAAGCTCCAAAAGATTCTAAGCTTAATTTTTAAAGGTTGACAAATAAGATTTAATATCAGTCTATTAAACATTTACGCATCACTACTGGCAGTAAAAGTAAACCTGGAATAAATGGTAATAGAAAAACAACAAACTTTGTTATACGGTAATACCCACCAAACAACATAATTAGTATTGTGCTTGGTTGATTTTTCCTCACCAAGGAAAACAAAAACAAAACACCAAAAGCAACAAAACCCACTACACACAGCTCAAAAACACATAGACATGTACATATATGCTTTTTTTCATACAATATTGCTTGATAATGTTTCTTTCCTTCCCCAGATTCTCCCCAGGATTGGAAAGAAGGGGAAAGGAGGAAACAGGGGAGGGACAACTAACACAAAGGCCATTTGAAAAACTATACGGAAATCAACTGTAGAAGCTTTTATACACAAACAGACACATATACACATATACAAATATATATGTAAAGAAGTATATACAAAAATAAAAGGCATCTAAATGGAGTCACCAAATAATAGGGGAAACAACTCCCCAACTAGACATCTTTTTTTTTTTTTTTTTGTTTTGTTTTGTTTTGGTTTTTCGAGACAGGGTTTCTCTGTGGCTTTGGAGCCTGTCCTGGAACTAGCTCTGTAGACCAGGCTGGTCTCGAACTCATAGACCAACTAGACATCTTATGCCATTAAGTAAAACTTCCAGTGCCGAGCTTGGGTTGCATCTTGTTGAGTCATGGCCAAAAAGGGGTTCCTCAGAAGCCCCAAAACCTCACAGCCTATTGGCTGCTCTCCACAACCTAATGGTAAGGCACTATTGCTGAAGACAGTTATGTCATTGAACCCGAAAAAAGAGCTGGTGCTTGACTAGGCCCTCCACCCCTACTGACTCGTGTCCATGGTAGTGGAAGGTACTTTGAACATTACTTATTATCATCTAGCTATAAACTCTGTGACCTACAACAATGACCTGTCTGCAAGATAAATTGGTACAATAGTGGCACAAATGTTAATGGGGTAGCCAGTTACTTTTTTAAAAAATTGGATTTAAGGCCCATTTCATGAGCTAGAATCTATATCTGACACTGTTAAAGTGGCCAAGAACCCGAGACTGGATGGGCCATGGACCTAACTAAGGGAAACTTGATGAAGGTCCCACTGTTGACCTGGCTGGCCTCTGATTCACAACCCTCTTAGTAATCTTGCCAAGCAGTTAAGATTATTAAAATGAAGCTGTACTGCTAGATGCCAAAATATATTCTTTGATGATTTCAATTTTAACAATATTAAACGTATATATTACTATTACTACATTAAGGCTAATAAAGAAGCCAATCAAATGCTATCTTGTATTCCTAAACTAGAAGCTTTACCAACAACTCAAAGCATTTAAGAGACATCAATTTTGGTATGTTTTTATAGGATACCAAACCTAGTTTTTCAGATGAGACACCCTGAAGCACAAAACTATTAATATCATCAACAAACTACACATGGTGAATCACAGGCAAGGCAGAAACTACAGTCAGCAGGTTCTAACATCACTAGGACTCTCAATCACCTACATCTACATAATGTTTTCTTCCCATTGCTAGAGCCTTGCACACACAAGGCAAGTGTCCTAAGTAACATCCCTAACCACCTCCCCTCTCCTCCCCTCACATAGAGTCTCATCACATAACTCAGGCTGGTCTTAAACTCGATCTTTCTGCCTTATGTTGTCAGTGGTAGAACAACAGGCACGTGCCCCCATGCCTGGCTGTGAAGTAAGTTGTTTTTCTCCCTTCTTCAGTGCTGGGGCTCAAAAACCCAGTGCTCTGTACTTTCTAAGCAAGCACTCAACCACTGAACTAAACTCTCAAACCCATGTCTGTATAGGCTGAAGAAAGTGATGTCC